ACCGCTGCCGCACGCACACCCACATACCACATACGTACGCACGCAACACCCACAATACACAACGCGCCGCGACGCACACCCACATACCACATGACGTACGCACGCGGACACCCACAATACACATACGCCGCGCACGGACACGCCGACACTACACATACGCCGCGCACGCACACCCACATTATACACATACGGCGGTGCGCTCACCCCAATACACATACGCGCGCACGGACACCCACATACACATACTACGCACGGAACATCCCACATACACATTCACACGCAGCGCCACGCACACCCACATATACACCATACAGCGCGCACGCACAACCCACATACACATAACTGCGCGCACGCACACCCACATACATCATCCGCGACGCCACGCACACCCAACCATATACACATCACGCCGCGCGCACGACACACCACATACACATACGCGCGCACCCTACACCCACATATCACATACTGCGCGCCCACGGGACACCACCTACACATATGTAGCGCACGGACACCCACATCCACACTATCGCGCGCCACGCACACCCACAGGACACATACCCGCGCCCGCACACCCACATACACAATACGCCGCGAACGCACGAACCCACATACACATACGCGCGCACGCGCACACCCACTTACACATATACGCGCGCCACGCACACCCACATACACATACGTAACGCACGGACAACCACATTACACATAACGCGCGCACGCACACCCCACATACACATACGCGCGCACGCACAACCCACATACACCATTACGCGCGACGCACACCCACGATACATAATTCGCGCGCACGCACCACCCAACATACACCATTACCGCGCGAAACGCACACCCACATACACAATACAGCCGGCGCAAACGCACACCCACATACACAGACCGTACGCGCCACGCACACCCACCGTACACATACGCGCGAACGCACACCCAACATACCACATTATGCGCGAACGCACAGCCACATACACAAACGCCGCGCACGCCACCCACATACACATACGCGCGAGCACGCAACACCCATCATACACATACGTACGCACGGGACACCCACACGGCGCATATGCACACCACACGCGACGCATATGCACACACACCGGGCCGCATATGCACACACACGCGCGCAATATGCCACACACAGCGACCGGCATATGCATACACACGCACGCATTATGCACACAGTGCGCGCCGCAATATATGCACACACACACGCGCATATGCACACACACGCGCGCCATAATATGCATACACACACGCGATCCATGCACACACCGCGCGCCATATATAGCCCACACACACACGCGCAGACTGCACACACACAACCGCGCATATTATGCCACACACACGGGCGCATAATGCATACACACGCACGCATATATGCCACACACACGCGCGCATATATGCACCACACACGGAGCGCATATGCATACACACGCGACGCATTATGCACACACACGGGCGCATAATGCACACACACGCGCGCATATATGCACACCACCGCGCCGCATTGCACACACACGCGCGCATATATGCACACACACGCGCCGCATATATGCACCAACACACGCGCGCATATCATGCCACACCACACGCCGCATATGCATACACACGACAGCGCCATATATAGCACACAACACGGCGCATATAGCACACCACACCGCCGGCGCACATATAAGGGGCACACACACGCGCGACATATAGCAACCACACACGCGCGCATATATGCACACACCACGCCGGCATATGCCACACACAGCGCGCCCCGCGCGATATAGGCACCACACACGCGCGCATATATGCACACACACGCGCGCATATGCACACACACGCGCGCATATGCATACACACGCACGCATATGCAAACACGAGCACGCATAATTATGCACACACACGTGCGCATATGCACACACACGCGCGCGCGCCCGTGCGCGTGCATTCTCTGTCTCACGCAGCAGCAAACATGTCCTGCTTGCATCTATGACAAATACGACATACGCATATACGCTCTCCCATGACACTATTTGTCATAGGAAGATTCTTCCTATGACAAATATTGGCGACTCAACTTCGTTCTGCTTTACAGCTGAAATTCACTGCTTGCGTTCATAATAGCGCTCCTAAACCCCTATGATGCGCACAACACATACAACAATAAATTATTTGTCATATGAAGAATCTTCCTATGACAAATAGCGTCATAGGAGAACGTATATGCGTATGTCGTATTTGTCAGATGCTGGCAGAACAGGCTGAAATGTGGGAAGTGCTTGATGCACTCATCAAAATTGTTTATGGCACTAGTTTCGTGAAAACACGTGCATGAGGTTTCTGTAAGTGTTGAAAATGTTCATTCATACATAAGTCTAGGCATCATTCTGATCCCTTATATAAATGTGTGCATTTCTTAATTAGCTGTGTAATGGACAAAACTCGTTTTATAGTAGCATGTTGAGGCAGATTGGCTATATTTTCATGATGCATACCAGTACTAGTTTTGCAGGGTATTCTTAGCTACAGATTTGTAAGAGTATTATTTGTTTATATATAAGGTAGGTATACGCATGGATTAGTTTTCATTATTTAAGAAATAAATTAGTTTACTAATCTGAATTTAATGGAAATGTAACGACAGACCCGATGTAATTGCTACAATATGTATACCCTAAAATGTAGGGAAAGGTTAGGACAAAACACGAATTTACAACAACACAAAATGAATTATTTTCAAGTTAAAAAGACCTTTTATTGTCTAAACGCAGTAATATAATTTCAAAAGCCATTCTAGTTCATATGAAATTAGGCAGATAACACCAGGTGTTTCAACAAATAGTAAAGATTATCATAACTAGTTTTAACTAGAGAATGTTTAAGAAAGTGTTGCTTTTCAAGATGTCCCCAAAGTTGCAGAGACAATACGTGGTCAAAGTGGCTTATCAATAATATCATAACATTTTTATCGATTGCACTTAAAAACCCATGCCAGAAATCTCTCACCT